TTGCTTGAGCCCAGAGGTCGAGGCTGCAGTGAGCTGTGATCCCCCTCCTCACTCCAATCCAGGCTGGGCAAGAAAGCAGGAAAGACCCTGTCTCAAAAAAAAAAAAAAAAAAAAAACAAAGGAAAAACATGAGACAGCAATCAAATACAATAGATTTGGCTTCAGTACAGATTAAATTAAAACCCTCGCTGTAGGCCCTAGAACAAAGACTTCTATATTACTAAAGGTGGTTACTGCTTGATGAACTCTGTACATGGACTAGCATGGACTTCTGAGGTTATCGAGATTAATGACAGTAATATGTGAGGTGCCAAGAAAAATGCCGATACATTGAAAGTGCGAGATAAATGCGTGCTGTCATCATTATAAGCTGGCCTATCTCCTAATAGTTTAATGAGTCCATTGAATAGCAATAGGTAACATGTTTATAGTGTTTAGTGTGTGCCTGGTACTGTTCTAAACACTTTACATTTATTCACTCATTTAATCACAAATAACATAAAGTAGGCACTTTGTTGTTATGCAGAAGTGGAAACAAGGTTATTTCCTGCTTTTTTTTTTTTTTTTTTTTTTTTTAGTCTCGCTCTTGTTGCCCAGGCTGGAGTGCAATGGCGTAATCTCGGCTCAGTATAACCTCTGCCTCCCAGGTTCAAGCAGTTCTCCTGCTTCAGCCTCCTGAGTAGCTGGATTACAGGAGACTGCCATCATGCCCAGCTAATTTTTGTATTTTTAGTAGAGACAGGGTTTCACCATATTGGCCATGCTGGTCTCCAACTCCTGACCTCAGGTAATCCACCCACCTCATCTTCCCAAAGTGCTGGGATTACAGGCATGAGCCACTGTACTTGGTTCATCCTTTTTTTAAATTATTGTGACAGGGCCTCACTTTCATCCAGGCTAGAGTGCAGTGGCAGGATCATCGTGCACTGCAGCCTCAATCAAGCCCTGTGAGTAGTAGGTGCATGCCAGCACACCCAGCTAGGTTTTAAAAGTTTATTTTTGTAGAGATGAGGTCTTTCTTGCCTCGGCCTTCCAATGTGCTAGGATTATACATGAGCTACACTGCTGGCTTTCTTTTCCTTTTTATTTTTTCACAATTCCAATGGTCCTTGGGATTTGTGTATACTTTAGAATTGTCTTGTCCAGTTCCCTGAAAAACTTTTAGAAGTTTGATTGACATTTGCATTTAATCTATAGATCAGTACTCGGGGAGAATTGATGTCTTTAATACTGAGGATTTCTGTCTAGGTGTTTTGAGATAACTCCATTTAGGCAGCTTCACTTTTGAGTTTACACCTGTTTTATACATTGTCAGTTCTCCTGCCTCAGCCTCTTAAGTAGCTGGGATTACAGGTGCCCACCAGCACGCATGGCTAATTTTTGTATTTTTAGTAGAGATGGGGTTTCACCATGTTGTCCAGGCTGATGTCGAACCCCTGACCTCATGATCTGTCTGCCTCAGCCTCCCAGAGTGTTGGGATTACAGGCATGAGCCATCACACCCAGGGAACGATGATTTTTAAGACATGAATTTGATTTTCTCTTTTAAAGAGTCTTGCTTCTGTATCCGTGAAGATTGGCCTGTTCTTATATTGGCCTTGTGTCATTTTTTAAATATTTTAGAAGTATTTTCATAAGCTCGAATTATCTTTTCCTTGGAAGTTTGGTGTAGGGCATGCCTGTAAACAATTCAGATATGATGCTTTCTTTATGGAAAGATAAACCAAGGATTAATTTTCTATAGTAGTAGTAGTAGTAGGATTACAGTAGTCTGACTTCCCATGTCGTTTTCTTTTAAACTTTTATAAATGGAAATTTCAGTTTAATGAAATATATATATATTTTATAAGAAATACATTGTGCCTGTTATCCAGCCTCAAGTTCATTAGTATATACCACACTCCCCCCCGCCTTTTTTTTTTTTGCTGGAGTATTTTAAAGTAAGTCCTAGCCATGTCATTTCACCAGAAATATTTCAGTGTATGTCTTTCAGTAAAAAGGATTTATTTAAAAATTGTGTCGTTGTTATAGTCAGTAAAGTTAATAATTTTTTACTATCACCCATTACTCAGTCTGTATTTAAAGATCCCTTACTCTCATTTCAAAATGTGTTTTTATAGTTGGGTTGTTTGAATCAGGATCCCTGCCCCCCCAACCAACTTAGGCTATGGAATTGTTAAAGAAACTGGGACATTCCATCCTATATGATTTTTTATTAAAGTTTAAGTATTTTCTCTGGCAGTTATTTATTTTGTATATTTTCATTTTTTTTGTATAAAGTTGATAATAGTATTGCTTTTTTTTGTTTGTTTGTTTGTTTTTTTTGTTTTTGTTTTTGTTTTTGTTTTTGTTTTTTGAGACGGAGTCTCACTTTGTCGCCCAGGCTGGACGGAGTGCAGTGGCACAGTCTCTGTTCAGTGAATCTCCGCCTCCCAGGTTCAAGTGATTCTTCTGCCCCAGCCTCCTGAGTAGCTAGGATTACAGGCACGTGCTACCATGCCTGGCTAGTTTTTGTATTTTTAGTACAGACAGGGTTTCACCATGTTGGTCAGGGTGGCCTCGATCTCCTGCCTCAAGTGATCCGCCCGCCTCAGCCTCCCAAAGTGCTGGGATTATAGGTGAGCCACCACACCAGGAGGTTGGATTATTTTTTAAGAGGATAACAGCTGTGGATTTTTTGTTATTGTTAGTAGACAGGGTCTCACTATGTTGCCAAGCCTTGATATGAATTCCTGGGCTCCAGCTATCCTCTTGCCCCAGCCTCCTGAATAGCTGGGACTATAGGTGTGTACCACTGTGCCAGCCCCCAGTAATGACTTTTTGATGTGAAAACTACTTTAGAGAATTAAAAGGAAAGAAAACTTAAATAATTTCTATAATAGGTTACTACTGTCAATAGGTCAGTCGGGAGTAATTTTGTTTCCCCAGGGGACGTTTGATGATGTCTGGAGACATTTTTGATTGTCACAATTGGGGTATGGATGCCATTGGCACATATAAGAAGGACCAGGAGACTCTTGATGGTATTACAGGCCACAAGACAATCTCCCTCCACCTACAGCAAAGAAAATTATACAGCTCAAAATGCTAATATTGCCAAGGTTGATTATCCCTGCATTAATTTATAGTCAGCACCCAGTCTTGTTTATTTGGTTTTTTTTGAGACAGGATCTTGTTCTTTGACCCAGGCTAGAGTGCAGTTGTGCAAATAGAGCTCAACTTAAATTCCTGGACTCAAGTAATTCTCCCACCTTAGCCTTCTGAGTAGCTAGGACTATAGCCTAGTACCACCACACTCAACTGACTTTATTATTTGTAGAGACAGGGTCTTGCTCTGTTGGCCTGGGCTCAAGCGTTCCTGCTGCTTTGGCCTTCCAAAGTACTGAGATTACAGGTGTGAGCCACCAGGGCTGGTCTTGCACTCTGTGTTTGATAGGGTTGGTTTGTATGGTGAAGGAGCCAGAGGCATGGTTTTATATACCCTGTTCTGGCTAGATTTTGGTTAAGGAAAAGTATTCTGTAGTTCAAGTTGAAAGCAAATTTACTCAGCCTGTTGAGGGCCTACTTTGAGGCAGGTGCTATACAGAAACTTGGTAAAAATGGTGGATAGCCTCTGCTTAACTGGAGCACACACTGAATGTTCCACAAATGACAGGACTTTTGTATCAGTTGTCTGTCTTTATGTATTAGAATATTTAAAATTTTTTCTTTCCTTCCTGAATTTAGTTTGTGTATGGACAAGTTATTATAACTGTTCTTCTAAGGAACTTGGGAATATTAATACAGCTTAATTGCATTACTTTTCTCCATGACTGTGAATACAAACTTTTAGCATCTTGTATAATAATGGGTGTTCTACTTATTTATTTATTTATTTAAAAAATAAAATTAAAAAAGCCCAGCATTCTAAATAATGTTACAGAATTAACACAGTATTTGAAATATTATTTAGAATGCTAGGTTTTTTTTATTCTTTTTCTTATTATAATTTAAGTTCTGGGATACATGTGCAGAACATGCAAATTTGTTATCTAGGTATACACGTGCCATGGCAGTTTGCTGCACCCATCAATGTGTCATCTACATTAGCTATTTCTCCTAATGCTATCCTCCACTAGCCCCCTACTCTCCCACAGGCTCTGGTGTGTGATATTCCCTTCCCTGTGTCCCATGTGTTCTCACTGTTCAGCTCCCACTTATGAGTGAGAATATGCCCAACCAAAAAACTTGTAATCTCTTATGAGAACATGCGATATTTGGTTGTCTGTTCTTGGGTTAGTTTGCCGAGAATGATGGTTTCCAGCTTCATCCATGTCCCTGCAAAGAACGTGAACTCATCCTTTTTTATGGCTGCATAATATTCCATGGTGTATATGTGCCACATTTTCTTTATCCATTGATGGGGTGGGGAGATTGCACTTTTAATCCTTCTTTCCTTCAGTCTTACTTTAGGTATAGTTCTTAAGTGTTTAAGTCTGTTGATATAACCAAATATCCCCTCGATTTAAATAATCTGTAACATAAAATTGTTTTAGTATGACCTAAAAGCCACAATATGAATAATATATAGGGGTGGCTCATGCCTGTAATTCCAGCACTTTGGAGGGCCAGCATGGGCAGATAGCTTAACTCAGGAGTTCAAGCCTAGCCAGGTCAGCATGGCAAACCCCGCCTCTACTAAAAATACAAAATTTAGCCGGGTGTGGTGGCGCACACCTGTAGTTGTAGCTATGTGGGAGGCTGAGATAAGCTATGTGGGAGGCTGATTTAAGGGAGAATCACTTAAATCTGGGTGGAGGTTACAGTGAGCCAAGATACCTGCCACTACATTCCAGCCTGGGCAACAACAGATCAAGACCCTATCTCAAATAAATAGAAAGAAAAACGTGGAGTGAGGTTTGGAAATGATGTTTAATGCTTATGAATAAAGAAAATATAGAGCAATTTTTTATTTTGGTTTTGTCATTCTTTGACCTTTATCTTTTCCCTTTGCTTTTTAGATTTTGGCTCTCTCTTTGACTTGGAGCACGACTTGCCAGATGAATTAATCAACTCAACAGAGTTGGGACTAACCAATGGTGGTGATATTAATCAGCTTCAGACAAGTCTTGGCATAGTACAAGATGCAGCTTCTAAACATAAACAGCTATCAGAATTGCTGCGATCTGGTAGTTCGCCTAACCTCAATATGGGAGTTGGTGGCCCAGGTCAAGTCATGGCCAGCCAGGCCCAACAGAACAGTCCTGGATTAGGTTTGATAAATAGCATGGTCAAAAGCCCAATGACACAGGCAGGCTTGACTTCTCCCAACATGGGAATGGGCACTAGTGGACCAAATCAGGGTCCTACGCAGTCAACAGGTATGATGAACAGTCCAGTAAATCAGCCTGCCATGGGAATGAACACAGGGATGAATGCTGGCATGAATCCTGGAATGTTGGCTGCAGGCAATGGACAAGGGATAATGCCTAATCAAGTCATGAACGGTTCAATTGGAGCAGGCCGAGGGCGACAGAATATGCAGTACCCAAACCCAGGCATGGGAAGTGCTGGCAACTTACTGACTGAGCCTCTTCAGCAGGGCTCTCCCCAGATGGGAGGACAAACAGGATTGAGAGGCCCCCAGCCTCTTAAGGTAAGCACAGCTTTGGTTTGTGTGCACAGTTGGCACACATGTGAGTATTCCCATGATGGAGGGAGGGTTTGCGTTACATAGTGTAGCAGTTTCCACATATTACATGCCAGGAATTTACTGTGCTATCATAAGTTTTAAGAAGTGCCTACATTAAATTTAAGTAAAACATATATTTTACAACTGATGTTCTATAACTTCATATTTCCAAGTGATCGCTGGCTAATGCTGGTTCTCTCTGGCACAAGCATTGGAATGTTTTCATCTCATTTCCAAGTCCAGTTTAGCCTTGTAGTAGCCTCATTATAAAAATACAGTTTGGAGGTCAGGCAAGGTGGCTCATGCCTGTAATCCCAGCACTTGGGGAGGCCGAGGCGGGTGGATCATGAGGTCAGGAGTTCGAGACCAGCCTGGCCAATATGGTGAATCCCCATCTCTACTAAAAATGTAAAAATTAGCCGGGCGCGGTGGCTCAAGCCTGTAATCCCAGCACTTTGGGAGGCCGAGGCGGGTGGATCACGAGGTCAAGAGATCGAGACCATCCTGGTCAACATGGTGAAACCCCGTCTCTACTAAAAATACAAAACATTAGCTGGGCATGGTGGCGCGTGCCTGTAATCCCAGCTATTCAGGAGGCTGGGGCAGGAGAATTGCCTGAACCCAGGGGGTGGAGGTTACGGTGAGCCGAGATCGCGCCATTGCACTCCAGCCTGGGTAACATGAGTGAAACTCTGTCTCAAAAAAAAAAAAAAATGTAAAAATTAGCCAGGTGTGGTGGTGCACGCCTGTAGTCCCAGGTACTTGGGTGGCTGAGGCAGGAGAGTCGCTTGAACCCATGAGGCAGAGGTTGCAGTGAGCCGAGATCATGCCACTTACTCCAGCCTAGGTGACAGAGTAAGACTCTGTCTCAAAAAAAAAAAAAAACCAGTTTGGAGATAGCTGGCATTACACTGTCTTCAGATGGAGACTTCATTTGTTCCTATTGCTTTGAATGTCCCTGGTTATTAGGAGATATGTTTATTCTGAGAAATGTATTAACTGTTATTTTTCTTTATTGTTGGAAATTAAGGTACATTTGTTTATGTGAAACCTCAACAGTCTGGATGTTTCAATGAAACCAGATCTTGGCCAGAGACTTAACTAGAGAATGCTAAGTATATTATTTAAAATATTTTAAACTGGCCGGGTGTGGTGATTCTCACCTGTAATCCCAGCAGTTCAGGAGGTTGAGGCGGGCGGATCACAAGGTCAAGAGATCGAGACCATCCTGAGCAACATGTTGAAACCCTGTCTCTGATAAAAACACAAAAATTAGCTGGGCATGGTGTTCGCGCCTGTAGTCCCAGCTACTCAGGAGGCTGAGGCAGGAGAATCACTTGAACCCGAGAGGAGATTGCAGTAAGCTGAGATCATGCCATTGCACTTCAGCTTGGGCAACAGAGCAAGATTCTCTCAAAGAAAAAAACAGTATACTTTTAAATGTGTACTCTATATAGACAAATAAGGTATAATTATACATACTTTAGTGTTTATTCTTCCATATATATATATATATATATTTTTTTTTTAATCTGGTTTTTTTTTTGAAATGGAATCACACTAAGGTTGCCAGTGCCTGGCATGTAGTTACTTTTTGTTGAATTAGAGATGGCTTCACTTGGAAGATGAAATTGGAGATAGGTACGATTTTCACAAGGAATCAGGGGAAAACTTTCTCTGTAAGAGGAATAATTTGAGCAGACATTAGGGCTTATGTGTTCCCGAGAATCTTGGGTGCAGTGGCTCATGTCTGTAATCCCAGCACTTTGGGAGGCCAAGGCAGGAGGATCGCTTGAGCACAAGAGTTAGGGAGCAACCAGGCAACTTAGACCCCATCTCTATTTAAAAAAAAAAAAAAAAAGGAACCTTGACGGTGACAGAATGCAAGTGTGAATTGAAGACGGTTTGACAAACTTGTGTTGAGGAGACTGAGATCACATGTAGGAATTCAAAAGCCTTAAATGTTTTTTTGCTACAAGAATATTGACAAGTTAGGATTCTGTTTTAGCATTAGTGCTTTGTAGATTCTCCCTTTCTGTCCCCCACCCCCACTCCTTTTTTTTTCCCTCTTTTTTTTTTTTTTTTTTTTTTTTTTTTTTAAGACAGGGTCTTGCTTGGTCGCCCACGCTGACGTGCACCAGCCTAATCATGGCTCACTGGGAGCCTCAACCTGCCAGGCTGAAAAAATCCTCTCGCCTAAGCCTCCTAAGTGGCTGGAACTGAAGGCATGCACCATCATGCCTGGCTGATTTTTATTTTTTGTAGGGATGGAGTCTCGCTAACTATGTTGCTCAGGCTCCTCCTGGGCTCAAGTGATCCTCTTGACTCAGCCTCCCAAAGTGCTGGGATTACAGGTATGAGCCACTGTACCCAGCCTCTTGACACCTTTACATTGCTGTGTCTGTGTGGTTTATTTACCATATTTGGAGTGAGAACCGGAAACAACAAGGTAAATTATTAAGTACCTTTTATAGGATCTAGGAACCTAGCTATAAAGAGATAAAGTCCTTGCCACCAAGGTTTATATTTTGCTATGGAGAGGAGGGATGACAGACTTACAATAAACCCTCACTGGTTGATAGAATACTGTAGTGTTAGAGTAGTGAATGAACTTATTTCATGTAATCTACTTCCTGCTATGCACATAAGATATAAATTTAGAGTATGCCAGGTTAAGTGCTATGGAGAAAAATTAAGGCTCATTGACAACTGCTTGGGAGTGTGGCACTATTCTGGTTATAATCTAAATTTCTTTTAGGAACTGCGTTTATATAGAAGTGAACGAAACAAAAATCCCTGTGCTTGTGGAGCTTTTATTTTGATGTGAAGGAGCAATTCAAATTTTAAACTTCCATTAAATGATATTTTATTTCCTCATTATTTTTATTTTTATCTTGAGACAGAGTCTTGCTCTGTTGCCTATGCTAGAGTGCAGTAGCATGATCTTGCCTCACTGTAACCTCTGCCTCCTGGGTTTAGGTGATTCTCCAGCCTCACCCTCCCAAGTAACTGGGACCACAAGTATGTGCCACCATTCCTGGGTAATTTTTGTTTTTAGTAGAAAAGGGATTTCACCATGTTGCCGAGGCTGGTTGTAAACTCCTGACCTCAAGTGATCTGCCCACCTTAGCCTCTCAAGTGCTGGGACTGTAGGTGTAAGCTACCATGCCTGGACTTATTTCCTTTTTCTTTACTTTTTTTTTTTTTTCTTTTGTGAGACAGAGTCTCGCTCTGTCATCCAGGCTGGAATGCAGTGGCGCGATCTCCGCTCACTGCAGCCTCAGCCTCCCAAGTAGCTGGGATTACAGGCACTCACCTCCATGTCTGGCTAATTTTTGTATTTTTAGTAGAGACAGGGTTTCACCATGTTAGGCTGGTCTTGAACTCCTGACCTCGTGATTTGCTTGCCTGGACCTCCCAAAGTGCTGGGATTACAGCCACCACACCCAGGTATTTCCTTATTTTAAGTGAGCCCACCTATATTGATATTTGTAAAGCACTTATATTAGTGTTTGACAACTGAGGGAGCTTTAAATGTTTAATAAATTAAAAAATCTGAGGCCAGGCCTGGTGGCTCACACCTGTAATCCCAACACTTTGGGAGGCCGAGGCGAGCAGATCATGAGGTCAGGAGTTTGAGCCCAGCTTAGCCAACATGGTGAAATCCCGTCTCTACTAAAAATACAAAATTTCTCTCCAAATACATAGTTAGGTACTAGGTTTAAAAAAAAAAAAATACAAAAATTAGCTGGGCGTGGTTGTGTGTGTCTGCAATCCCAGCTACTCATTAGGCTGAGGCAGGCGAATCACTTGAATTGGAGTCGGAGGTTACAGTGAGCTGAGATCACGCCACTGCACTCCAGCCTGGCGACAGAATGAGACTCTGTCTCAAAAAAAACAAGTTACGGAGGTTTAGGATAAGATACCCATTTAAGGCTGGGTATGGTGGTTCACACTTTTAATCATTCCAGCCCCAACAACATAGTGAGGCCCCCATCTCTACCAAAAAAAAGTACCCAACTTTCATGGCACACCCACACCAGCAGTTGGCCTTTCACTGTACCAAGTCCTAAAATTATCTTGTAGAGCTAATTATATTCATTATATTTCTTATTTCTTCTAAAACTTCTAAGACTTGTGATATTTAAGAATTAGGATTTAAGGTGTTAGAAAATTTTCAGTGAGATTGGATGACTGGAACCCTGCTTGCAAATGACATCAGCTTTTGAACACAGTTCTTTTCATGGACGAATCTGTGGTTCCAAATGTGCAGGCAGGTGGTGACATTACTACTACAGCTGTCTTCTGAAAGCCTGACCCATGGTGGTTTATGGGAAGAAATTTGGATCGTATTGCCTTTCACCCCAGTCTTTAGAATCAGCATAAACTATTCAAAGCCAAAATGTTTTAAGTTAACTTTTGTTTTTGAGACAGGATCTCTATCTGTCATCCTGGCTGGAGTGCAGTGGCACAATCATAGCTTACTTGCAGCCTTGATCTCCCAGGCTGAAGTGATTTCCTATCCCAGCCTCCTGATAGCTGGTACTACAGGGACTGCCATGCCCTGCCAATTACTTTTATTTTTGTTGAGACAGAGTCTCACTATGTTGCCCAGGTTGTTCTCAGACTCCTGGCATCAAACAATCTACCTGCCTTGGTCTTCCAAAGTGCTAGGATTACAGATGTGAGCCATTGAGCCTGGCCAGATACTGAAAAAGAAAATATAGGCATGGCTCAGTGGCTCACATCTGTATTCCTGCCACTTTGGGAGGCTGAGGTGGGAGGATTTCTTGAGTCCAGTAGTTCAAGGATATTCCTGGGCAACATAATGAGACCCCATCTCTACTTTTCTTTCTCTTTTTCAAAAAAGAAAGAATAGTTCTCTGCAGGACTCATTTTTTATACCTGCCTAGAGCTGAGTGTGGCTTCTTCATCCTCTGCCTTTTCAGTTTAGTGTGGTGGGT